CTCCTGCGTGCACCCAGCGCATAGGGAAACCCCTCACTTGGGATGGGACCACAAATGCTGCGAGCCCCAGCATCACTGCCCCATCCTGCCCCACAGCCGGGATGCTGGCATGCACTGCCTGCACATGTGTCCTTAGCATGCACCAGGCCATGCTTGCACACACACACAGAGCACCTACTCATACCTTAGTGTGTGAGGAGGGCTGGTGCCTGGCCTGGAGAAGCAGCTCTTTTTGGCTGCTTTTGGGCCCTGGCAGCAGCATGGATGCTCTCCCTGCTCTGGCTTCACTTGATACTGAGGATGGTGCTCCCGAGGCGAGGTGGGGCTGGCGCCTTCCTGGTGCAGTTAACGCAGGGGCCAGCACCCCATTTATTTCCATCACCCCCAGCTCCCTGCTGCCCATCCCTGTGCTCTGAGAGGAAAACACTGATTTTCCCTGATAACAGCAGTGCTGGTTCCCGCGGCCCAGATCCTGCCTGGCCTTACACACACGAGCAGCTGCGGGGAAGCCGCTCCATCCCCTTGCTCAGGGGTAACGGCTCCCAGACCTCTGGAGTTCACTCGAAAACACACGCGTGAGCCAGTTCAGGATGCAGAGCACGGCCCCGCAGGGGCAGCTGGAGCACCCCGGGAGCGCCCCCCGTGGCTTCGGTGCCCTGTGCTTGTCCCTGTCCATGTCCCCATCCCCATCCCCATCCCGCTGGGGGGTCTCTAACACGACGGGAGCCGACAGGACCTCGCCCCCCCCCCTCCGCTTTGCAGATGAGGAACTTTGCACTTTGATGGCTCCGTTCCATTGTTCTGCACGTAAAAATCACCCCAGTTCCCTCCCCCCTCCCGGGCCGGGTCAGGAGCGCGGGGTCCGGCTCCGGGGGTGTCGCTCCCGGTCCCCCCTATCCCCCCGCCCAGCGCCGCCCCTACTGCTGGGGGGGGCTCCGGAGTGCCGGGACCGTGCTGGAGCCTCGGGGTGGCGCTGCCCAGCTCCCCCGGAGGGGGGGGTGAAATCACGGCTCTCGGTACCGGCCCGCTCCGGTATTTACCATTGTGCAAAGGGGGAGCCGCGGTGGGAGCACGGGGGGGCCCCTCCGGCCCGCCCCCCCACCCTCCCCGTGCGCGTGCCCCGGTCCCCGCAGCCCTACCTGCTCCGAGCGGGCGGCGGCGGCGGGGCCGCGCCGCGGCGGCGGCGCGAGGAGGAGGAGGAGGAGGAAGGAGGGAGGAGGGACGAGGGAGAGCAGCGGACAATGGCGGGGCGCAGCGCGGCGCGGGGCCATCTCCCGGCGGGCCGCAGCATTGCACGGAGCGGGGTCCCCCCCGGGCGTGCCCGCGGTGCTCCCGGCTCCCCCCACGGCGGAGCTCCCTGAGCCCCGCTGCGCTGCTGAGGCAGCCGAGAGCCCCCCGGCTGCGGAGGCCGTGCTCCCACCGCGGCAGCCAGCCCCCGGAGCACGCTATGGGCAGCGGTGGATGTGGTGTGCTCCTGCGGGCGGCCGGCGCTGCCAGGCGCTCACTGGGGGGGTTGTGGTCACTCCCAAAACCCCGGCACCACAATGGAGAGCCACAAGCTGGGCTGGGAGGGCTGCGGGTCACAGCCCGTGGTTTGGGCTCAGTTGTGGCCGAGTGTAATTCCAGCCTCCCTGCTCACTGGAGATCCCTCACCAGGAGGTGGGAGGATGGAGAGAGGCTGTGGTGGGATTCACAGTGCCGTGCAGGGAGCTGGGACCTGGGGGTCCCCTGGTGCAGGTGGGCATCTCCAAGCCCTGATGGAAGAATGACCCCAGCCAGCACCACAACTGCCTGTGAAACCACATGGGAACCATGGAGCTGAGCTGGGTGGCTGCAGAAATCACATCCCAGTGTCCCCTGCCCTGGGCAGATTATTCTTTGTCCTCCTCGAACCTTGTCTAACCCCCTCCAGAACAGCCATCCCTGCTGCACCCCGCTTTGCTGTGGGGGAAGAGGCAGATGGACCCACGGGTGTCAGTGAGGACCCCCCTCTGCCCATCAGCCCACCCCACACCTCCATCAGGGACCAAGAAGGGAAACAGCCCTTGCTGGGTTATTGGAACCCGGAGCTGTGCCATCACCGTGGCATCGGTGGCTTGGATGGAGAGTGCCCGAAGGAACGTGGGCTGCAGGAGGGGGCAGGCAGCAGGGTGAAGGCAGCCATGGAGCGCGCGGGCAGCGGGATGTACAGGCAGAGGAAGCACCGCCGTCAGAGCCCGGATAGCTCAGTCGGTAGAGCATCAGACTTTTAATCTGAGGGTCCAGGGTTCAAGTCCCTGTTCGGGCGATTGCTTTTCGTTCGGTTTTATTTTCCTTTCACAATGATTTTTCCCCTCCTCAAAACCCTTTTTCCCCCCGGCAGGAGCGGCTCCTGCCGCCCGTGGGTCCCGGGCAGTGCAGGAGGGGGGGAATAAAAAAATAAACCCACAATAAAGTATAGGAGGTGAAGAAAAAACGCAGTCGCCCGAACAGGGACTTGAACCCTGGACCCTCAGATTAAAAGTCTGATGCTCTACCGACTGAGCTATCCGGGCTCTGCCTGCGCTCCTCCTGGCCCGCTGTTATCAGTGCGCGCGGGGGCGAGGCGGGGCTCGTACCCGGCCGAGGGAGGAGCGCGGGGCGGCTCGTACCGGGCTGAGTGGGCTCGTACCGGGCTGAGGGGGCCCGTACCGGGCCGAGGGGGCTCGGGCCGGGCGCGGTGGCTCCGCCCGTTGTCCCGCGGCTCCGGAGCGGGGTTCGCGCGGGGCGGGGGGGACACGCACCGCTCGGTCCTCCACGGCGGTGGTGGCGGGCGCGCTCCCCGCCCGGGCCCTCCGTCCTCTCTAGGGGTGACTTCCGTTGCGCTCTATGGCGCGGCGGCGCGGGCCCGGTGCCCCGCGGAAGCGCCGTCGCAGCCATGTTGGCTGTGAGGGGAAGCGGCGCCCGAGGCCGCGCTAAGATGGTGGAGAGGAGCCCCCGGGGGGTGTAGGGGCCCCGTCCCCCCCCTTCCCTCCCCCCGGCTGCGGCCCGCCTGGTGCCCATGGAGCAGCTGTAGGGTGAGGCCGCCTCGGGGGCACGGTGCGGGCGGTGCGGGGTGAGAGGATGCGGGGCCGGAGCTCAGCGGGGTCCCCGCTGCTGGCGCCCGAGGGGCGGACGGGAGCACCCGGGCCGGGGTGCGCATTTCTGCGTCAAAATTGGCTTCATGGGCAGAAACCACTCCGAAAGATACCCGGTGCTAACGGCAGGAGCCAAACCCGCCTTGCACTGGAGAAACCGCGTCTCGGCAGCAGCATCCTGCGGCCCGGTTGTGCTGGGGGCTCGCTGTGAGCGTGCGGCCACTGCCATGAGAAACGGGCTCCCGAGCTTCGAGCGTTACCGAGCGCTGCTCCTGCTGAGCGCTATGCGTTGTCCGTTGAACTTACGTTAGCTCAAGGCTTCCTGTTGTCTGACAGGTCATGGTTTGCAGGTAGTTGATGCTTACACCAGTTGTTGCAGTAAGAAAAGGACACAAGTGGCTTTGCATTACTGCAAGGCCTTGTGAAGTGGCACCGGGACCAGGCAGCACTTGCTGGGGGGGCATCATGTGGCTCTCAAAGGACATGTATGGACTTGCTGGGAGCCCAGAGGTGGGAGCAGGTGAAACCTGTGGCCCTGGAAGCACTGTGACATCGCTGGTGGAGCTAGGGATGGAGTAAGGTGGGAGCTACAGGGAGGAGAAATGGGGTTTCTATCGCAGGCCGGGTGAGATGGGTGGGCAGGAGGACTTGTGGGCATGAAGAAGCCCAGGGACTCACACCTAGAGGAGCCAACCTCATTAGCTCCGAGTTGCCACGACTTGGTTGGTTAAAGCCTCCCTCCTGCGTGACGCAGTACATGGGACAGCAGCTTTGTCCTCGACAGACATTTTGCTTTATTTGAAAGCATGAAAAAGGATGAAGGACAAAACCATCAGACCTTAACCCAGAGTGAGCCATCAGAGGCCATAAGTTATGTCTAGTTTACACTCCCTGTTTTCACTGTGCATCACAACCTGCGGTCTAGTGGGGTTTTAGTCTCTGAAGAGAAAGCAGCTCTCCTCACACACCAGGCAGATGACTTGTCCATGTGGCAAGCATGACCATATAAAGTGCTTGGGTGGAAGAAACGGTTGGTTCATGACTCCTTGGTGATTCACAGCTTCCTCCGAGTCATTGCTCTGCTCCAGCATCCATTTTCTTATAGATGCAGCTCCATGTGTAGAGGGGAAGAGCAGTAAATTCACTGGAGCTGTGTTCACTTGGCTGAAGTGAGTTCGGTGCTTCCAGGCTATGAGAGGAGATAATGACAGGAGGCAAGGCACGAGTTTGCCTTTCTCTAGTAAACCCAGTACTGAAACAGTTAAAGTGATCTTGAGTTGACTCCCTCAGCCGGGGGTAGCAGTCCGTTTCCCCAAAGGCGGGGCAGGGAAAGCCACTGCTTTCTCCCATTTGGCTGCTTTTCACACCAGCTCAAGCTCTTACCAGCAGCTGATGTGCTCAGTGACTCCCCTCTGACTCCAGCAGTTAGAGGCAGGAGCAGTTTGAGCCTGGAGGAGCTGAGCCAGGCAAGGCAGAGCTTCTCCAGCACTGCAGGAGCGCAGGGAAGCAGCAGGCCCATCCTCGTGCTCCTCCTGCCAGCAGAGAAGTTCAACGTTGGTGAGTTGGTCTCTGGCTGGTGCAAAGTACAGCTCAGCTTGCACAGCACAGAGGGTCCTGTGGGCAGCTCGTGGTGCAGTGCGCTTGGCGTAACCAAGTAGAAACCTTGCTTAAAAGGTAAGGCACTGGTAGCATGGAAGTAATTTTAGCTGTTATGTCACTTATTTTGGGTTATTACCTAGATCAGTGTCGTTTTTCAAACTTTAACATGCTTTCATTAAGCTTTCCTAAATATTTAGATCTGCTTGATCTTTGGGAGTGATTTTATTCCTGCTACTGCCTTACTTCAGAGAAATGCAATGCTGTAAGACCTATCAGTAGCTTCTAACAAACTCATTGCAACTCAGTTTTAACTGCTGGGGCAGGCGAGCCATGGGGTTGGGTGGCTACCAGTGCACAGTGACTTGAATTGGTGCCAGAGCTCAGGTCTCTGTCATTGCCGACTCTACACTGCCTGTTCAGCCTGTTTAGTCTGCATGGAGATAATTTGGTTACATTCCTCAGGCAGAAGTCTGGTTGTTTTGCAAGCATTCACTCTTTAATGTAGCTGCTCATACTGGCTCCCGTTCGTTGTAGCTAATGTAAGAACAGACTCATTTACTGCAGCTGGGAAATTCTGTGAAAGAATTTAGATACTGCTTTGAAAGCTTTTGCCTTCAGATTGGAACTCCTGCAGTGGTTGAAAGTCAGCAGTGCTGCCAGATTGCACGTGGAAAAGCTTTCCCAAAGATGCATCTGTATAAGCAAATTCAGGAGCCACTCTTTTCAGTTCATCACATGCTCCAGCCTTAGGCTCACCAAAGGGTTTCTTGATGTTGTCTTGCAGAATAGCAACCAGATTCACACTGGAGATTTTCTTGTAACCGAGTTACTTTTTGCAGTGGCTGCTTAACTGACACCATCCTTTAAGCATAAAGACGTTTTCAAAGGTGGTGTGTGGGGTGGAGCAAACTGGATTGGGCTGTGAACATGAGTCATTAGTGATCATTCTGCATATGAAGCTGTGCTCCCTGGGTGGTGCTGAAACTGATAGGGCTTGACAAATTCAGATAGCTGCAGGACTTCCCCTTTTGTTCCTTTCCAGGAAAGGATCCTTTCACCCGCTCAAACTGTTGGTTTAGAGCCTGCATCTGGGCATTTGGGATGGAGGCTGCTGCAGCAGCAGCTTTTGGCAGGTTTTCAGCCCTTGGCAAAAGCAAGTGGGGAATGTGTTGATTGTTGCAGTCTGCACTGACCACTCCTTTGGGCAATCAGGGAGTTGCTGTCTGGTGATTTGGAATCTGAAGGTTTCCCTTGTGGCTGATTGTGACTCACCTTCTATTCCCCCAGCTCTTGACTGCAGGATTTCACCACATTAAGAGTTTGCCAAGAGCCTGATGGAGACTGGCAGTTCCCTTCAGCTGGCAGGTCCCCAAGTTCCTCACCATGTTGTGCTGCTGCTCCTTGAGATGGGCAGAGCCAAACCATCCTCAGTGCCACAGGAAATCGGTCACAGTTATTTCCTCATGGCTGTTTGTCCAGCACTGGGCAGCTGGATGCAGCTTGGCTAAGGCAAAGCAGATCCAGTTTCAACAGAGCACATTAGGGGCACAGAAATATTAGCATTATACAGCAGCCATTTAAGAGATGCATGCAGGGCTAATTTTAAACTCTCATTTCCTGAAGCTTCTAAGAAGTGGAAGTGGTTGAACTCAAGAGCAGGTTGCTGGTACATGAACGTTCCTCTCATTTATAGGTCTCTGCTCTAAATAGCTCATCACTGCCACGATGACATCTCCAAGCTCTGCCCAGCATCCAGCAGCTGAGAATGCCTGCAGAATAGCACTTGGACAAGCTAACCAGGTAATTGCCTCTCCCACTTACTCTCACTGCTTTCTCCTTGCTAAAGCAGCAATTTATTCCATCAAATTCAACCTCTTCGGGTACATTTAAGTTAGAAGAACTTAGCTTAATGGAGTAGGGCTTTTATTCTGAGGAGCTGTGTTACTCTCACTATCAGATCAAGGATTTATGAACATTAAAGGGGAAGGAGGGGAAAACTGCACTTCAGATTGGCCAGAGGAGAAATTGTATAATGCATATTTTTGTGCTGGACCTGTACTTGAAGTATTCTACATACAGCATCCCCCTTAATGCTGGGCTCTTTGTGACAGTTGTAGCGGGGCTGTGTAACCTTGCATGCTGACCTTTGTCTAATCAGTAATGCCTCCTTTGTAGTACTCCTCTTATTGACTATTCCTAGAATTTCCTTGGAACAACAGGTGGTTGTATCCCTGAGCCAAGGTCACCATGATAAGTGTGTCTCAATACCATATTGACAGCCAGTCAGAAAAGAGAAACATGCAAATAACAGGAAAAATCTCATCTAAAATGCTTCTCCAGGACAGGCATCCAACCTTCCAGAGCCAATTCATTGTACAAACCATCTCCACAACATGAAGGGATGTGGCAGGACTGGAAATAAGCTGATGGGAAGTAGAGAGCCTCCCATTTGAAGCTTAATTTAGAAGCTTTGAAATGTAGCCAAGTCAGATATGCTTATTTAGCCAATTCACTCTGCATGCAAAAAGTAAATAGGCTCTGATATTAGTAGCAAAATATTGATTGTCACCACTCAGTGTCCCAGGCAGTGTGGATTAAACACTTCCATTTTGACTTTACTGTGGTAGCTAAGGGCTCATTTTAAAATGAGCAAGCTAACTAGGTTGCTTCTTTAATCAGAAAGAGATGTACAAGAAGTTACTTCAAATCCATTTGAGAGTGGTCATTAGAGAAATGAATGAGTGCAAACACATAATTTCCTCTTATTAAAATCATGTGCTGTAACAAGCACTTGAGCTGTGCTGAGCTTTTTCCTAGAGAAAAGCTGTTCTTGAGAAAGAGACTTGGGGCTGGACATGAGCTGTTCTGTTTTGAGCTTGAAAATGCATTTAGTAAATACAATAAGGAGAAAACAGGCAAAGCAGACACATCCACATTTCAGAAAACAGAAATATTTTGCCAAATACCATCTGAGAGCCAAGTGATAAACTACATTGACACCAAGCAGCCAAACCCTGCTCTCCTTACCTTATGCAGGAATATGGTGCTGCAGCTCAGGCTGTCTCTTAAGGAGATGGAGGACTGCAGGCAGGCTCTGCTCCTAGGAAAAGGAAATTGGGTTTACCATTGCATTTATATAAGCAGAAAAAGAGGAGTGGGTGTGAGACACAAGTGAACCCACCTAACACTGATGGGTGAGGGCTTCACAGCTGGTACAGATGACATGCCTTGAGAGGATAAACCTGCCCAAAGTGCAAGGGAAACAGCAATGAACATGGTGTGCTGAGGACTGGGCTTTCTGTCCTGAGACAGATTGAAATGTCTTCCTGCACTAGCATCTGATAGACAAGGAGAACAAAAGAGGTTCAGTGTGGGAAGCATCCCTTAGTGTACAATGTACAATAACATTGTACACAGCTGTGTAGCGTTCAGACAGTGGGTGCACAAGGCACAGGATCATGTGGTGGCACTCTCCTAGGAATTGTTGGAATTCTTGTGGAATAAATGAAGTAGCAGGATGGGGGGGAGTGAGAAGCTATTTAAAACTTGGTGCTGTTTTATATAGCATCATCTACTCAGAGCTGCTTGGGGGTGTGGGTGAAAGCTAAAGGGCTTGTGGAACAGTTGCATCGTTCTCAGGGTGCTTTCTGTTTTATGGAATGAAAGATTCTGCTTTATGACTGAGCTGCACAGAAAATGCAGGTTCTCGGTGTTCATTAACCACGCCTTCTGTTTGATTCACTCTTATTATGTGCTTGTTCATGGAGCCTAATAAATACATAGGTCTGTACAGAGCAGATCTCACTTATTCACTGCATTAATAGAGGAAATTCAGGCACACTGCTCTTGAAGTTGCAATGTGAATGCACCATCCGTCATTGCTTCTGAGTAGATGACTCACTACATTTGGTTAGTCACTGCTCAGGACTCCATACATACCAAGGATCTGAATTTCCAGTCTTCCCTCCCAGGATGAATGACATCAAAGTTAATGGGACAATGTGAGTGATTAAAGCCTTTAGAGCTGGCTGTCTGTGCAGATTCCTTGTGAAAACGAATCCCAGCCTTCAGCATGTTAGCCTGAGGCAAGCAGTGCTTTCCACGACCTCCACCTCATCCCTGGCTTGTCAGCTCTGTGCTTGCTGTGTCTTGGTCACTTGTGTTTGCTGGCTGTGGCACCAGGCACACGTGTCAGGGGGCTTCCTCTCACTGCTTTGGGTCATTCAAACCAAATTCTGTGGTTTATTCTTTCAGGTGCGGCCCAAGCTGCCACTTCTGAAGATTCTGCAGGCTGCAGGCGCCCAGGGGGAAACCTTCACACTGAAGGAGGTGGGCTCAGCTTCGGGGCACTGGAAGGGTGCCCTTCCTTGGTTGTTTGGCAGGTGGCTCTTTGTGGGGAAGGGGTGGGACTGGCTGCTTTCAGTACTCTGAAGCCCTGTCTGCAAAACCAGGGATCCCTTACCCATAGGGCTGATCGTAAATGGCTTTGAGAGCCCCTGGAGGAATTAGAATAGAAGAAAATGATTTATCCTGGAAAAACTGTCTTTAGAGAAAGCAGGGATGGGATAGCCACATCCCTGAGGGATAGCCACATCCCTGAGGGAGCGCAGGAGATGCCGTTCAATTGTCTTGCTCTCTGCTCAGTGCATGAAAGCCTCAAGAATTGGATTCCTGTTGAATTTTTCTTCCAACTTTCCTTTGAAATGGCCTGTCAGCTAAACCTCAGAGAATTCATTTCTTTTCAGCTTAAAATGCAATATGTGTACAAGATTAAAACCATGACACTGTGATTTACGAGAGTATCCTGTCTGCAAAGAATCACATGCACAGGGTTTTCATTATGAATCTGTCAGATATTCCTGCAGAGCCCCATGGCTTAGTTTAAATACTTAAAGGCATTGAAATAACTTATTTAGTGCCTAAAAAACTTTGCAAAACCAAATTGAATGGTTTAAATGGGGAGAGTTGAGTATTAAATGCAGGTTACTTGTATAGATTCATGTTTTAACTTGGTTAAGTCTGATCTGTTGTAGCTGGCAGTGTCCCCTGGCTCTCAGAGGGTGTTTCCTCTCCGTCATTCTTTGTGATACCAATGCACTAGTTTTTCCTTCTTGTCAAGTGTTAATAGTTACAAACCTTATAGCAGTATGGTAAAGCATAACTCCCCCTTGGTTGGGAGACACCAGCAATTTGCAGATGTGCATAAAAAGCAGGTACAGTTTGACTCACACTCTCTATAGGGTAGCAGGATACAAGTATCAGAAACTAAAGCAAATGTACAGGGTCTTTTGTGGTTTGGTTTCAGCTGCAGATAGGGCTAACAGTATGTTATGTGTCCACAGGTTATGCATTACCTAGGACAGTATATCATGGTGAGGCAGCTATATGACAAAAGGCAGCAACACATGGTCTATTGTGGAGGAGATCAGCTGGGAGAACTGCTGGGATTGGAGAGCTTCTCTGTGAAAGATCCAAGGTAGGAAAAAGTCACCTTTGTAATGTTGTATTACAGAGGTTGTGGTGACAGGAAACTCTTGGTGTCACTGTTGCTGTTCATCATTGGATAAACCTTGTGAATACCAAGTGTTCTGCTCAGTGGCTTATTGATAATGCTCTTGACAAGTTTGAGCTGAGCTCCTTTGTTATCAAGAGCCTGTTCTGAATGGTGCAGACAGTGAGCTGCTGAAGGTGACATCTTTTCCCCCTTTTATTTCTGCATCTTCTCAGGCCCTTGATCTCACACGTGAGTAAAAATCTGTATCCTTCAGTTAAGTTCTGAGCTAGACTTCTCTGTAGCAAGATATTAGGAGTGGCAGAAAACCCCCTCTGCAGTTCCCAGTCTGTCTGGTTAATAAAAGAGAGTTTCAGTCCCTGGTTGAAAAGTGGAATGCTGTTTGGGATTGTGGATGTACTCAGCTGGCACCTTCTTTCCCACAGCCCAGTCTATGAGATGCTGAAACGGAACCTGACTTCTGCTGCAGTGGCAGGTAGGTTTGTCACAGTATGGGCAAGTATATTCAATGTAGTGTTGATGTAACTTGGGTAAGTAATTATATTCAGAAAAGAGAAATGTTTCTGAAGTTGAACCGAACTGCTGCTGAAAGCTTTGAGTAGACAATCTCGTTGAGTCTGTGTCTTTTCTGTGTGTGCACCATCAGTAGCTGTGATATGACATCAGTTAACTGTCTGAGTAACGTGGCTGCCTGTGACTTCTTTCTCTCACCTCATTTTATAGTTGAATAGTCTTGAGACAACATCAGAGTGCTGGAAACCCAGCCTGATTCTGCGAGCCAAGGAGGGCTGGACTTTAGTCAAACACTTGAGCCTTTAAAGGTGACTTTTATTTTCCCAGCTCATAAGAGAAGCCAAATCTATCTACATCAAAACCCCTTTAGTCATAAATTAAGATTTATTCTAACTTAATCTCAGCTGATGACTTCCTTGCAACCAGAGCCCGTTATATGGGTGGTAATCTTCATTGGCTAAAAAGACTTCTGATGAAACTACAAGTGTGCAGATCATGAGGGAGTTGTGGAGTTGTGTGCCCTACTTCCTGAGGTCTCTCAGCAGATAGTATGGACTTGGTTCTTCATAAGGGCTTAGTCTGTATTTGCACATGTATACAAAAGCTTGTGCAAATTTAGAGACTGAGAAAACACAGCTCTGAAGTGCTCAGTTCTCTGCTTATATAGGAGAATCTTCCTAAATGGACTCTGTCTAAACACGTTACCTGCAGGATAACTGTGCTGTTTCCTTTACTGGTGACGCCCTGGCCTCTTCCCTACAGGCAGTGTATGTGGATCCCAGTGAAACCCTCTCCTCTGCTGCCCTGTCCCCTTTTACTTGGTGTGTGCCTGTGGCTGGGTGTGTGTGGCTGCGTGTGCGAGTGTGCTCCAGTCCTGGTGTAACTACCTTGAAACCTGCCAAAGGAAGCACTGTTCCTTTAGGGGCAATGATCCCTGAGTTATACCACTGTGTCTGCTTGTGTGTGTGTATGTGTGTGCGTGATTTAAACGAAACACTCTTGGCAGACCTTTGACAAATACGTAGGTAAGATGACTCTAGGTGGTGTTTTACCTTCGTTGCAACATAGGAATAACTGGAAGTGCCATAGAGCTTGAAGAGGTCTTCATATTCCACAATAGCTGCTTGTATTCATTAGTCAAATTAGAGCTTATGAGCACAACATTTTGCAGGTTATCTCGCCCACTTCTTTTAAGTACACTTGTAGAAAGCAAGGGACTGCAGAACATCTTGATAATAAAGAGGAAGCTCTGACAGAATGCTCTTTATCAGATGGTGCCCTTACTTAGCAAGCTTCTGCTTAAGTGACTCACCTGAGGTATACTCAGGAATATCTCACTTTAAGGACATTTTGTATAGTATGTGTTGGCTTGAAGAAAGGAAGCCTTCCAGTAAGTGGAGTGTTTTTCCACACAGTATTTAAGGCTAATTTGCATTATTGCATTATAGTTTGTCATGTTAGAAGGGTCAGTCTTCACCTCTTCTAATGTCACTGCAGAGCCAAACCACTTATGGACGAGCCAGTTGGCTTCTGTTTTCCTTCAGGTATTAAATAATCAGTGACTGCAGCAGCTGTAGGGTGATGGAAGGGAAGACAGGGAAGCTGAACGAATGCATGGAGAGCAGACCATGTGAGACAGAACCATGTTGTGTGGTTCTGTGTTCTGGTCCATTTTGTGGATACTTTGAGGTCCACTTTTCTGCCTATAGCAGCAGGTTTCAGTACCAGTGCTATGATTCATGAATGAATGGGACTGTTCCTGCCAGCCTGGCATTCAGCAGGGAATTTCCCTGCTGGATTAAAAGGAGATCCAGCAGCAGCCATGCTTCAATCTTTTTTTCTCTAGCACATCTTTCTGTTTAAAGGGTGACTTCACAAGTGCAGCTCTCCTATTGTGTAGGAAGATTTCTGGTAATGTGATTGTTCTTGCTGTTGAGGTTGGCCTTTTAATTAACTCTTGGGGCCAGCATAATCATCTGGATTAAATTGTGTTCCGGATGTGTACACAGTTACCCAGGGAAGAGCTTGCTGTGCATGGAATTTTCCCTCCTGTAGTCTAGGAATTGTTCTTCATGCCCAGGCTTTTAAGAAAGATGTTTTTTGGTCTCATCCTGAGGTGCAGGAGGTGGTGTCCTCAGGTATTTATAAAGATCTTCCTCTTATCTGTTCACCACCTTCAGCATGGATCTGATCCAGCCTTCACAAGAGGTCCCCACACTCTGCTGTTGCTCTGGGTTTCTGCCTCTGTGCAGATCTTTTGCAGAAAGG